GTAATCGGGATGGGTGTGTCAGAGGCAATGCGATTGGCACAGGATAGAGCAGGGTTTAGGGCTGTTGTACATAGGGTCGCTATGAGTCGCAAACGACTTGACAGCACATAACAACAACATGTAAAAGAACAGGTTACACAGGGGATCTGGGATGAGTATGTACATTTCTTTTGTGGGTTTTGTTTTTCATTTGTTTGTTTTTAAATTGTGGGCTGTTGTTATGTGCCATCGAGTGGTTTGTGACTCATAGCGACCCTCTGTACAACAGAGCCAACCTTACTGTCTCTGACACACCTACCCCCATTACCCCAGTCACTGAGTCAATCCATCCCGTCAAGGGTCTTCCTCTCCTGCGCTGTCTCTCCACCCTCCCGAACATGACATCCCTCTCCAAGGTCTGATCAAGCCTTGCAACATGTCAAAAGTATGTAAAGACGAAGCTTCAGAATCCTCGCCTCCAAGGAGCAGCCTGCTCTCACCCTCTTAGGACGAACCTGTTTGTTCTCCTAGCAGCCCGTGGTATATATAATACTGTTCTCTGGCACCACAGCTCAAATGCATCAATTCTCTTTCTATCATCCCTAGTCGTTGTCCAGCTCTCTGATGCATAGCAACCAATTGCAAAGACCATGGCCTAGATCAGGCACACCTTAGTCTCCAGACTGACAGCGTTGCTCTTCAGTACTCTGGAGACCTCCCTGATACGAGACTTTCCCAGTGCAATTCGCCTTTTAACTTCTGGGCTGTGATACCAAGACTGTTGATAGTGGAGCCAAGCAAACTGAAGCTGTTAATAATCTCAATCTCTTAACAGTTTATCATGTGTGCAATCTATAAGATTCATTTCTCTTGCATGTATTACTACAAACCTACTTCATGGAAGATAGAGCTTAAAGATATGTCCAATGGGTAGTCGGCTGTGTCACTCAGTCTTATCTCAGGTTGGAGAGTGTCAGGTTCCATGTCATGTTCCGTGTGAATAAAATTGAGTATCCCAGGAGTTTGCTGTTATGTTCAACCTGTGGGTTATACACTATGTATCTGGTGAGCTCGTCCAGGGCTCCTTCTTTTTGTTAGAATATTGTCACTTAGTCTACCAGTGATTCTTCGTCCCTTATTTTTTGCGAGTGCAGCTCCTTCTTGTTCATCTTCTTCTTCCTGAAAAGGTTCCTTGTTAACGTTTTAAATCTAATCTATTCAAAACAACTATGAGATGTCGTCTTACCCCAGTCAGAATAGCAAAATTTAACACAACAGCAAGCAACAAATGCTGGCGAGGTTGTGGAGAAACTGTAACCCTTATTCACTGTTGGTGAGAGTGTAAAATGGTGCAACCACTATGGAAGGTGGTATGGTGCTTTCTTAAAAAGTTGCAAATAGAGATACCATTTGACCCAGCAATGCCACTACTGGGAATATATCCCAAAGAGAGCATAACTGACCTCCAAGCAGATATATGCACACCCATATTTATTGTGGCTTTG